TTATACGTACGAGCTGGCTTTCCCAATGAGGAACTTCAGGCCATCTCAAACCAACTTTTGATTCAGCATCAGAACTCAAGTTTGCAGGTCTCAAAAATTGCTCCTGCTGTTTTTGGCATGGGGTTCTCTTTTGTGTGTTCCCGTTGTTTTTTCCTCTTTCTTGTTTCTTGTTTCTTCCTGTCCCTTCTCTTGGTTGTTGTCTTTCTGTGGTCTCTTGTTTCCCTCCGTCAGCTCCCTGGCTCAAGCTACGCTTTCCTTTTGCTCCACTTTCGTTTGATCGCTCATGGATCATGCTCAAGGACGAGCGTTCCATCATCATTTGGCTAGAGCTATCATGCATCTCAACTATCTGGCAGGACTCTTGCCTTTCTTCGAGCCCTCCATTGAATATGATGAAGCGCCGCCTCCGGCCAATTTCCGTCTTGATCATCCAAACACCAGAGGCCTGCATACTTTTGTACCTCGCCCGACATCCGAAGGTCCTCCGACCTTGGTATCACATGGAGGCATCCCATCCCACATGGTCTTGAATCCAGAACCGTTCCTGCGACCGGCATCAACAAGCTCTCCACCAATCAATACATCTATTCTCACCACTGGTACATCTCGACCTGCCAGTCTTATGACGGACCCTGGTCCAACTCCGACTCCTGGATCCACAACAACGATTACCTTCCATACGGCCCCCACACGCACTACCACACCTGTGCCAGTGCGATCAAAACAACGGTCATCATCTCTGGTGGACCCACAACCAAAAAAGAAACAGAAAGGGGAGTCAATTCCTGAACCTAGACTCGCCCACAATCTTGATGCTGTCCATTCGACCTCGTTACCCATTATTTCAGACGCCCGTTCAGCAGACATGAATTCGGATGACTCCGATGGTGAAGCTGCGTCAAGAGAGGATATCAGCTACATTCATGGTGGGAAAGCAAGACCCAGAACACCGCCTCTGACCTTGACTCCCAATCCAAAAGCTCCGCCGTCTCCACAGATGCACATCACTCATGCTATTCCTGCTAATACACCTCCTGATCCGGCTCGTCTGTGGACCCACGCCGATGACCAGGAATTGATTGGCATGAAACAGGACACAAAGTCCAGACCTTCGTGGAAAACAATTGGAGCAAGACTCCATCGCGATCCTCAGCTCTGCAAGCTTCGCTGGGGACTTCTGAAACAGACATCAGAAGTGAATGACCCACCGGGTCCGGGAAATCCACCTCATGAATTGGAGGGTGATGACTGACTTTAGTATCAATTCTTGCGATGAAAGGCGCCATTGCTGCCTCATTTGGGGCTGTTGTTGACTTGCTTCGGGTTTCCCTTTCTTTTTGCTTTTCTTCGTGTCCTTTTTTGAGGTCTCCCTTTTGGTCAGTCTTTCTTTTGCCTGGGATGAATGTTCTTACTTGGTGTCTGTTCACCCACAGCAAGTATGGCTCATTCATATTATCGTCAACGCACAGCTCCTGAACGCTCCCGCTCTCGGGACGACAATATGTGGCAAAACCGTGGTACTCATCAACATGACAGGCAACGAAATCCTCGACCTGAAGAACCTCCTCCTGCTCCTCAAGTCCGAAAGGTCTTGGTCATCGTTGACATTGAACAAGTCCGCCCGCTCATGAACAAAACCCATGATCACTCGATGGCCGCTACAACATGTGAAGTTCTCCCTCGCCTCACTCCGGTCGAAGAACGTGCATTGTTCACATTCAACATCCTGCTCAACACACACAGGTTGGAAACCTTCACGGTGTACAACCTGTTGTATTGCATCAGCCAGCACATTTGGTATACGTGGGATCGATTCTTATCTCCTTCAGCCATGGACATCAGATGGCAAGATGATACTGGAGATACTTTTGCTCTCCGCAACGAAGAATACCTCGTCACCTACCTGAACGCATACCGCTCTCACTGGACTGAGGGACAAGAACATAATGAGTTCTTTTCACATCACATTCATCCCTTTACGTCTCACATTCAGCCTTACATTATGCGCTTGAGCTGCCATGAGGCTCTTCCAAACCGCAACATGCTTCCTTAAGGTTAAAAGTCTCTTACATGTAGGGACATGGGACTCTCCCGTTCGCTTGTGTGGTTTGCTTTTGCTTCTTGTTGTTTTTTACCTGTTAAAGTCTTTAGCTCTTGGCTCCAGCTGTACCATAACCAAGCGTGATTCCTCATTTGCCGGTCTCACGCGTCCTTCTTCATCCATGAGCAAGCCACGTCGTGTTTCATGGAGATCCCGCAGTCATGGCCAATCCAGTAGCACTGCTGCTCCTTCGGATCTATTGCAGCCGCCCCGTGGCGACAATGCTCCCCAAGCTGGAAGTTCCCTCTCACCTAATGCATCAGGCGAGTACACAACCCACTATGGGTACTCTTCGGCAAATCTTGCCACACCCATACCATCTCCAGCCGATCATCAAGCTCCAATTCTACCTACTCCTACAGGAGAATCATATCCACTCCAGCAAGAGATGGAAGAAGTCCGACGTCAGCTCCATGCATACTATTTTGTGGAAGTCCAATCACCTCCAGAAGATGACGATCAACCGGCGCTTCGACGACTTATGGTGACGGAAGTGGATCGACGTGGTCGCCACCACAATAGGCAGCCTGAATATTTTTTCAACGGCATCATCGGCCATGTTCGTGCCGGACAGAATGGCTGGATTGATTCATGGGATCAATCCTCCCAGCTCGCCAACTGCTGGCGACGCTACTTTCAGATCCCCGAGACCTCTCCATATGGTAACTGGCGTCCCCATCAAGCTGACGGTCCAGAAAGCCCTACATCGGCACATGAATCCGTCATGGATGACACCGATTCTCTCATTGCCAATGCTGACATCAATCCACCTCCTGTCCAGATTCATCAACTGGCAACGTTCTTCTGGAACATCCTCAACAATGACAGGGAGGCCAACATGGCCATACTCGAACGTCTGGAGGATCCTGAAGGAGATCTTTCCCGACACCCAGTTCAGATCTTCTCGGCGGCAGACTTGGCTCATCTTGCTAGCCACTTGGCGGAATCCACAAGGACTTTGTCTATCCAAGCACGACGCATGGAGGCATTACCTGATGACAGCCTGTGAGTTTTAGGATTAATTCATTCGATGTTTCTTCCCTGTATTTTGAAGCCATTTCCGCTTCAGGGAATGGATAAGAGCTCTCAAGGTGGATGAATTTGAAAAAAGCCTCGCGGCAGCGAGGCGTGTGTGTGGAACATCTGAAAAGATGTAAAACTTCCTATAGCTTTGACTTGGTTCAATTTTACTTCGTACTTGCAGGGGGTAGCGGCAGATCATTTGGGACCGCTACCAACGAAGACACCCATTTGATCTGGTGATACAGATTGGGACGCCAATCTGCGTACCTGCACTAATTTTTCATTTCCGTCAATGGCAACCGGCCAAGCCAAGAACCGGCACGTCGGTTTTCGGTTTTCAATTGCATCAGAACCTTCCTCTGAACTTCGATGTCAACAGGTTTCAATCCAATGTACGGTTTTCGCAATCTGATTTACTGCTGACTTCGTCAGATGGAACAGTTGTTTTTTTGCACGGACAAAGAAAGAATTCTTCTACAATGGTTTTCTCGCTAAGTCATCCAATTTTCCTGTCAGACTTTAGGGGACTGTTTGTGCACGCCTGATGCACTCCACAACAGTAATTCGATAAGAATTTTCTGAGCAAGTGTGTGTGTGTGTAACATCTAAATAGATGTAAAACTTCTCTCTCTTTTTCTTCCTTTGTCCTCTCCCTTTCTAACTCTAATTTTAATGCAGGGGGCCACCGGGGTCCCGGGGGGGTCGGTGGCCACCGAAGACACCCCCCCGGGACCCGTGTAAACGTACCTGCATCGTTTCGTATCTAATCTGCATGTTTCAGGATTCAGTTCCTGCCGGATCATATAATGATCCATTCTTGTCTAGTGTGATTTCCATGGTGGCTCCGACATGGTGCCATGGAGCCATTTGAGGCAACCCTTTTTAGGGTGAGTGATGACTGTCCTGACTGCGGAATTAACACATTTTAATTTAGTAATTCATCTAAGTAAAGCGAAACAGTCAGCCTTGCGGTTTGTCAATCTTTTCAGATGTCCCGCTGTTCCCGCGGTCCAAGGGATCCCAGTGCTCCGTTCTTTCAAGTGAAGCCATACCGAACATTCAGAAACCTCCGTTTTCACTGCAGCTTCAGCGTTTGCGATGAGACATGACATGCAAGACAACAGGCAACAGGCATGTCCTTTTCCTGCAGGTGTGGTCTCTTTGGTATCTGGTGAGGTGAAACATGTTGTGCATCTAATTCGATGGAACTTGTAAGCCGTTTATGCCCTTGTGGCTGACTGGAACACGGGCCTGTTGTGGCACAATTGCACGAACAGTAGGTATAGGAACTGGGTCCTGTTTTTTAACTAATTGTTTTGTTTTTTGTCTGGCATCAACTAGTTCCCCATTTGGTCCCTAATCTTTCCCTGCGTGCCTCTCCGTAACGTGTTGTGGGGTTTAGGTGTGTGCGCTGTTTTGGTCAGGTCCGTTTCGCCGTGTAGGTTGGTTCCGGAGGTCCGTCTGTTCCCCTCCCCCCCCGCGCTGTTTTTGGCCGTCTGCCCGTCGTGTGTCCGCTTTTTTCTTCCTCTTGCCTTTCAGGGTTGACCCGGCTCCGGCCGGGTGTGTGTGTGTGTGTAACATCTAAATAGATGTAAAACTTCTCTCTCTTTTTCTTCCTTTGTCCTCTCCCTTTCTAATTCTAATTTTAATGCAGGGGGCCACCGGGGTCCCGGGGGGTCGGTGGCCACCGAAGACACCCCCCCGGGACCCGTGTAAACGTACCTGCATTGTTTCGTATCTAATCTGCATGTTTCAGGATTCAGTTCCTGCCGGATCATATAATGATCCATTCTTGTCTAGTGTGTAAGAAGGTAGTAAGAACCTGCCCCCATCCCAACAACATCACTCCAAATGGTTCCAAATCTCTCCTAGGCACCGCCCATTCCAGGGAGACGCCATCGTGCAGAGAGCTCAAGAAGTAACAAACCAAGAGCCCCGCGGCACTTTTGGCCGCCAGGGGCCATTGGAGGACGCCAACAGCCAGGAAGAAAACGATGAAACTCAGCAGCTCAGCAAGTTGACCCTTGGCGATCAAGTTCCCGGCCAATAAAGCGATGATGCCCACCACGAATTTCGTGGTGGCCTCCTGAAATCAAAGGATATCAAAGGATTGAAGACAAGGTAAAGTTGCAATAAGTTGCATGTGAACTCATGACATCATCTTATCATCTTGGATATGACATGTCATCATGAGTGGTTTGATGTTTTGTTTTGTTGCTGTGGAATTTGCGTCCTGGTGCTCTTGACAAGATGTACTGAGTGTACTGTCGCCTGGCCTGCCTTTTGAGAAACGGAGTTGGCGCCTTGTCGCCAGATAGCAGCTCCAACAGGTCTGGCACACTGTTGACCCGCGACAAGCTGGGTGATGACCAGGGGTGAACGCTCTCAGCGTGGAAGACGTATTGGTACTGCCACTGGTCGCCATCACAAAAGCAATCGTAGCTGTACAACGAAAAGTCACCCGAAGATGTCATCCATTCCAGGTTGAGCCGCTATCCAACAGCCTCTGAGCAACAAATGACCACAAAGCAGGGAGCAAAGAGTCATTTTTGTTGACAGAATTTGCACAGAAACAAAATTAAATCAGACACAAACATAGACCGCTAAGTGAAGTCCACGCATAACAAAAAAAATGAAGATCGCAGGCACCTTGTGCTCTTTGGTACGCACTCATGGCTTTCTCCAGTGTTTTGCCATCTGGCTCCAGGTCATTCTCTAAAGGATTTGAAATAATCCAACCCAAGGCACTTCTGAAGAAAGAACAGTGCCATGTGATGCTGGATGGTATGTGATCGCAGTGAGCCGAACAGTAATCACATGCGTGTCTGATAGGGCACAACGGTAAACAATTTAGCATGTGTCGTTGAAGCTGGCTTGAACCACATCAAGAAGTTTCAGGTAGATCTTTTGAATGTGAAGAAAGTTAAAGATCGCTGTCCAATCTTATTGACAACTATGACATACTGTTGGCAAGTGGCTGATTACTTGGCTGATTTTTCTGCCCAAAAACTTCCGACCCTTGACTCGACCATCGACTCAACTGTGGAGTTCTAAGGTCCGAGTCGTTCGAGTCGTTCGAGTCGTTGCTTCTCTTTTTCAAGAGATGCTGCAGCTGTCTGCTGTCTGCTGTCTGCAGCTGTCGGACGCCCGTTTTTTTCTGCCGGAGAGGTGACTTCATCAACTCGCGGCAAATTCCCCACGTCTTCGACGTGACAAAATGTGGCAAACAACCAAAGGTGTCATCATGTCAAACCATGAAACGCCTAGATTCTTAGATCTTCCATTCTTATCTTCCAAATGTTTTCCCCTGACAACTCAACAAACCATCAGATTGACCTGATGGACCTCTGGATGTTAGGCTTCAAATGTTCGAATTCATGGATTTCTGCGGCTGCTTCACCGCCAAATCCATATGCAGCTTGCCAGCAACAGCCATGGAGCACTCAGACCTGTAGCTGGGATGAGAATGACGAACCACGTCATGGCTATGACGGCTATGACGTGTGTCTGTCACAATGAAGACAAGATCGAAACACAAAAATCAAACAAATGCAGAAATGTCAGTTTGCTGCGCTTTCCGTGTCTGATACGGGCTCATTCAATTTACGCGTTTGTGTCATGTAATGTGTGATACCGGGAACCCAGGACCCTAGGTCCCTAATGGTCCCTAGGTGTCCATAAAGATCATAAAGGGGGCTCGTTTGCGCCATGACTCGGACCCTTTAAGGTCCGCACCACTGGCACCATCCAACACTGTGTCGACTGTCCCGAAAGCTGCCAGCGTCGTGGTGCTCGCTGTGGTGCTTTCTGTCACGGTATGAGTTGTAGTTTCAGTGACCGTTGCAGTCACCGTGCTGGTCTCAGTTTCCGTCACAAAGAGCGTGGTGGTAGCTGTGCTGGTGCTGGTATTGGTGATGTTAGGTGCATCCGCAGAACTGGGCGTGGAAGGTTCGGCCACCGATTGCACACTCAAAGAATTCTCTCCAGTTCCAGCCGTTTCAGCTCCACTTCCAGCTGTTCCAGCTTCACTTCCGGCCGTTGCAGCCGTTGCAGCCGTTGCAGCCGTTTCTGTGGCCTCTGGCGGATTTGGAGCCGGTTCAGGCGGTTCAGGCTCCGGCACCACTTCTGGCAGTGACGGCAGTGACGTGCTGGTCACAGTGACAGTGCTACTGCTGGTGATCCCACAGAGCTGTCGAAGTTCCTGGTCAGATCTGGGTAAGTCGATGCCCACGTAGATCAGGGCTGCATCCAACCTGTGGATTTCAGTTTTGAGGGATGTTGGTAATAAAAAGAATATTAAGAAAATATCCGGGATGGTCTGGGCTGAAGAATGGGCTGCATAGTTGTTGTGGAAATATATATATATATATACATACACACACATATATATATATATATTATATATATATATATTTGAACAGGAAGGTCAAGCTAGTTTCGTGGAATAGTACGAAGGAATATGGACCGAAAATCGCCGAACGATGTCGTTTTCAAGCAACAATGGAGTGCAGTGACTGAGGATCAACGGCGTCTTGGCCATACAACTGAAGGTCTGCCAATCTGGACAGATCAAGGTGGCTGCATCCATTTCACCTGCAAAGACCGACATGATGAGACCTCCCAAGGGTTGACAAACTTCTTCACAAGCTTCAATGCATTGAGGAGCATAATCTTCGATCATCTCCAGGATTTGGTTCCCTTTGCATTCGCTATCTTTGCCGTTTGCCATTGCTGCCACTGCTAGTAGCACCAAGCATTTCCAGCCACGCTGGCGACAGCATGGCATGGCCGAACACGTACCTCTGTAAGCCCTGGGGGATAAGTTTGAAACACTGCAGACAAAGACGCAGCCCTGTGACATCAAGTGACTCAGGTCATGACATGAAATTCAATGTGATGCATGTGATCCATGAATTACAGTAGTGCCGGCGCCTGCTCAGGCGCCAAAATGCTTGCCAAGAATGCGAATGTGTTCTTTCAAACATCAGTTATATAATCATGGCGGTATCCACATCTGAGCTGAAGCATGCCAATATAAAATCAACCTAGCCAAGCAGGGCCAAGCACAATACATTAAAGCACACTAAGTGTCACACTAAATCTATCAAAATATCAGTTGCTCTCGATTTTGGTCTTCTGCATGTCCATTGGCCACGCTCAATCCACCAATTCTTTGTGGACGTAGCTCACAGCGAAGGCGGTCACCGAAAAGCCGTTGGCCAAATAGATCGGGGGCCTCAATCCAAAATTGCTGGCAAGACATGACCAAGATGCAAACCAAACAGCTAATATTACCCCCAGACGCCGTGTGTTGCCCAGACATTAACATTGAGAATGTCGTGCTGTCGAATATATGATAGGAGACATTGCAGAAAATACTGCGTATACGCAGTGTTTTCCAGTTTAGGATTCAAAGTTTTCAGAGCCTAGGTTTTAGGGTTTTAGGGTTTTAGGGTTTTAGGGTTTTAGGGTTTGGAGTTTTAGGGTTTGTGGTTTTAGGGTTTAGGATGGTTTAGGGTTTTAGGGTTTAGGGTTCGTCGTCTGGGAAATCTCAAAACACTGGCCCTGTGCAGGTGTTTGAGCATGTTGAAGGATAATGTTTTGAACATGTTTAAACGCCATTTGAACCTTCCGGGCAACACACAGCGCCTGGCCGCAATATTATTAGAAAACAAAACTGCCAAAGAATGTTCTGACCTTTGGGCAACATGTGGATAAGATGGAAAATGGTAGAAATACAGAAATACAGGTGTTAATGCCCAAATTGTGATTTCTCCACGGGAGAGTGTTTTGAAACACCGGAAGTTGAGGTGAAAGTACTGAACCAT